AGTGTCACTGGCCCTCATATGTGGGATCCGAACCGGGGCCCTCTGGCATCCCAAGCGAGTTCTTAACCATCGCGCCACTCGGCCGGCCCAAGCAACTTTTAAAATAGCTCCTTTGCGCCCATGCTGTTGACTCTGCTGCTGCGATCACAACACCTTTGGTGACGCTGGTGGGCCAGCCCTCCTGCTCTGGGGTGCCAGTGTGGTCATGGCAGGGAGCGCCTTCATAGCAGCCTCCCTCCCAAGCCTTTGTCCTGTGAGCGCTTTATAATTGTCCAGCAACAAAACTGTGTGGGCTACAGCTCTGCTCAGTGTTTTTGAAATGCAGATTTTAAAGTTACGAATGTATTCTACATATATTAGTTTGTATCACTGCAGTATTTAATGAAATGTGACGATGTTTTAGAGGGGAAAACAGTGATGGAAAGAAAAAATTTTCATCACTAAAACTGATGGGATTTACCAGTAGCTGATTTTTTCAGAGCTCTCTGTTCACATTTATTATCACTTGCAGGATATGCCACCTTATCTTGCATACTTAACCTCAGTGACCTACGGGTAGGGCGAGAGGCTGGCCAGCGTGGCACACAGGCAGCAGCAGCGCTGTAAAACTCCTCAGGGCACAGCCTCTCTGCAGAAGTGAGAGGCGTCATTTAATGCAGCTTGTCTGTCAGTTAGCTGTCAGTCTCATCTACCCTTCCTGAAGTCCTGTGTCACTTTGAAATGTCAGTATGTACACATCATGTGCTCTGAAGCAGTCTAGGTTCTACTTGGGCGGTGTGCTCTGTTCAGCATCTTGAATAAGCCATTATGTAAAGAATTTTACCAACTTGCTTTTAACATTGTTGTGTCGTGTGGACTGACCACCACTTACTGGTCCATCCACCTTTTTCTGTGCACCATTTTGGAGTGGGGCTCACATTTCTATTGGGTTGTCGGGAAAGTCATGACGTATTTTTTCTGTTTTTCATTGCAAAAATGCGTCGTGACTTTTGCGACAGCCCAGTGTTTTCTAAGTTACCGACTTCTTTTAATGCCTTCTGCCCTTTGCCTTGCGTTAGAAATCTAGAATTCACAGGGTGACTTGTGTCCGATACCTAGATCTGTTCTGCAGCTGAGGATGCCCTGCAGGTTGCTGTGCCCTGGCCTGTGCGAGTGCCGCACAGGGAGCAGCCTTGGAACGAACACTCATTTGGGACCTGAAAATCTACATGTGCTTCACTAGCTCGTAACCCTGGGTAGTCAGGTCACATTTTCAGGGCTGTTTTCCAGAATGTCCTCTCCCAGACTAACTTGTTGAGTAACTGTCATTGTCCCTTCTGCTTTCCTACCGAGGGTTAATGCTAGATGTTTGGGAGCCTGAACTCTCATTTCCAGAGACAATTGCTTTTTCTTTTTAATTGTAGCCATCAAGGTTGACATAACGCTGGTTGTTTGAAGTTTAAAGAAGCCTTACATCTGTGCACCTGATAATACTTAAAATCACAAACAAACCTAAACATCAACATCATTGTCTTTGTGGCTCCCATTTTAAGAGTGAAAAGGAAATGATTGATTTTTTTTTCTTATTTCTTTTCAGGTTTTGAATGAAGAATGTGATCAAAACTGGTACAAGGCAGAACTCAATGGGAAAGATGGCTTCATTCCCAAGAATTACATAGAAATGAAACCACATCCGTAAGTTGGGCTCTCCTGGTCTCCCAAGGGTCAGACCTCCCTGTTTCAAATAACGTTTTAAAAATTGCGACCACTGGGATAGATGTCATACTTTTCTGTCTTCTCAGGGAATTACCAAAGCATGTTGATTTTGCATGTTAATAATAGTGCATAATGATAGTATCATAGTCAATAATGGTATATGTTTTAGATTGATAGCAGTTGCTGGTAATCTTTAAATAATGAAACAATTGTTTCATTGAAAACAGTTTTTATACTATTACATAATAATAGTGTATATGTTTTAGATTAATAACTGTCCATGATCTTCAAATAATAAAACAATAGTTATACAGGTCCATAATTCTTTTTCTGTGAAACCCTTGGGGTCAGATGTTTCATAATTCTGCATTTTTTGAGTTTTAGAAAGGGTACTTATCACATGATTTTATATTGATATGTTTGATTGTCCTGTGGGACCATATTTTTTTTTAATTAGTTTCAGGTGTACAACACAGTGCAATAGTTATACTTTTTACCCCTCGAAGTGACAACCCCCTCCCCCACTGTGGGACCATATTTTAATAACCTTTGTATTCTGGAGCATAGTGCTTGGCATGTAAGAGGGTTTCAGTAAATGTTTGTTACGGTCGCTGCCCTTGCTCTCCACTGAGTGTCCCACTTCAGAGAAGACAAAATTCTCTTCTACTCCAAGCTGCTGAGAGCAGTGAGCTTCTTTTCTTTCTTATTCTAGAACTCCTCCTATTTAGGTTGCTGTGTGACATGGTGAGACCACTGTCCTCCCATTGTCACCCACCACCTCTTTCATTGGCCCTGCTCCTACCTCTAAAGCTGTCATCTTCATACCTTGTATGTCAGGGGGAACTGAGAGGCTTGCAGTGCTCAGCCTGGAATGCCATCGAGACACGAAGAAATGGTAGATTCTTTCTATCTACCATTAACACAGAGTGATATGTAAAACTTTAAGATGCCTTGACCCACCTTGAGTACCACAAGCCCATTGGTCTCTCTTCCCTATAGTCACTGCTCTGAAGTGTACCTGTCGATTCTCTTCCCCCGAGCACTAGAGCAAAGATCTTAACCACACCTTCTCTTACACAGAGCTTAGATCATCTTACACAGAGCTTAATGTCATAGAGCTTGAAGGGGCTTTGAAGATCGCCTAGTTTATTCTTTAGTCTACAAGTTAGGAACGCTTCTAGTATTTTTATTTCAATGCCAATAATTTATGAAAATCGTTCTCATTATGAAAGACTCACAGTGTAGAAAACTATAGACCAATATGTGAGTTTCTCTCCTCACACGTCCCCTTTCAGAGGCAACCACCACTAGCGATTAAACGTGGGCCAGATGCCACCTTCTGAACCGACTCTGTTCTAAAAAGATGATTGGCTTTCTATAAAACGAAACATGATTCAGGAGCTTCACCATAAAGCTCTCTGATGGTTCATGCCTTGGTCAGTAAACTCCTACACAGTTATTATGTGGCAGAGACTGCTAGGTACTGGGAAGTTAAGTTCTCTAGTTAAATTACGGTATAATGAAACTTTCATGTAGTTAACACGAAGCTCTTTGAGAGATCACATCCAGGAAGCCTTAGCCTGGAGAGAAAAGCTTGGGAAGATAGCTATACTGCCGTTTCTATTGGGTTGTCAGAAAAGTCATGACGTATTTTTTCTGTTTTTCATTGCAAAAATGAGTCATGACTTTTCCGACAACCCAATATAATGAAGAAACTGTGAGGGCCTCAAATAAACTTCTTTTTACTTCAAGAAGAACCAGACACCTTATAAATGGCTCAATAAAAGTTGTATTGAATGATTTCCAAGGTGAAAACCAGTCTAATTTGTAAAGTAGTTTTTCTAGTTTTTGTTTGGAACTTGTACTATCTTGCATCTTTGTAACTATATGAGTCTGGTCTCTTCCCCCACCCCACCCCACCCCCGCCCTTTTTTTTTTTTAGGTTCCTTGGACAATTTATCTCTTTTGCTTTTATACTCCACTATAATTAATTGTGCCTTGCTTATGCACATAGCTCAGTAAATATTTTTGAATTGATAGTCAGGCCCAAATTCTTATATAAAGGCCTAGATTAGGTTGTTCATGATAATCAAAGCCAAAAGCATTAAATCTTCAGAGGTGTGGAAGAGATTCCTGGACCCCTGTCAATGGATTGATAATGCCTCTCATTTGAGGCCCCTGTAACATTAAATTGGGGGTTTACACACAGACATGTCCAGGTTACTAAAATATAGGCCCAAGTGGTGATAACCAAGAAACTCCAAAAGGTGCACACGAGATGATTGCAGATTTCCTGGGGTGTGCACTAAGCACAGCTTTGCACTCTTATTAGTGTCAGTATTTGCTTTGGGGGCTGCGTGGGCTTTTCATGGACAGCATCACGGAGTGCAGATGCGCTCCACGGGGAGAAGCAGCTGGGCAGTGGTTACTGGGAGTGGGGAGGGGCTCACTGGATCCCAGGGCATCCTCCTCCCTCAGTCCGTGGAAGCCAGATAGTGTGTGCTCACTTATTCCTTCAGTCCATCCTCAAAAAAGATCAAGAGTTGGCTAAACTTTTTCAGCACAAGGCCAGATGATAAATATTTTAGGCTCTGTGAGCCATGTGCAATCTCTGTCGTGACACATACTCTTTTTTTGAATTTTTTAAAACAATCCTTTCAATTTTTTTAAAAACAGCCTTAGATTGTGGGCAATACAAAAACTGGGCAGATTGAAACCGAGAGCCATGCATGGTTTGCAGACTCCAGCACTAGATCCAATGATAACAAAATCAACTTTAGTTCCTTTTCATTTTCATATTTCCAGGCTGAAGGGGAATTCAGCAGAACATCACACTGTAATTTTTATATTAAATAAAATGCCTGTGGCTCTAAATCCTTGCTTCCTTCGAATTGCTTCAGGTGACATAGGCATTTCCAATCCAACTGTTAAGAAGCACAGGAAAGGCCGCCTTCCTTGGAGAGTGATAGTTACTGACCTGATTGGTTGGTTAGCCTTTTAGGAAGAGTCACTCTATGCCTGGTCCTCCCTCCTCACTATGAAGAACTTTGAGTACTTGATTGGGGAGCATCCAGTATAGGCTTTGTGGTGGTGGTCTTCGCAGACTCGCTGAAAGGCAGGCAGTGCTCCTCTACCCCAAGCTCTGAAAAGAGAAGCTGTATTGCTACAAAGGACCATGACCCTGGACCTGTGTGGTGGTTGGCCTTGCAGGCGCGTTTCGTGGAACAGGACTGCTCTGTGGCTAGGCATCCATAGGTACAGAATCAGTGTCTCCGTTGCATGGCTGTGGGAGAGCACGAAGCACGAGGCCTCTCCTTCCCTCTCCCCTCCTTTCCTCCCTCCCCCCAAACCTTTCATTTTTGTTAGGAAGAAGGAAGTTTAAAATGGAGTATGACCTAATGTAGCATTTCAGTTAACAAATTAAACACAGACTACAAAATCGTTGGCATTAGTGTTGCAAGATGAGTTGTAGATACTGGAGGTGGATCCAAATATGTGCTTTCACATTAAATGCATATGGGTGGGAGCCTATGGGATGTAGTAAAGAATTAAATTGCACAATAAGCCGCTCCCTCCCATTAGCTTTCTCCCTTGCTATTTGTATTGTAGTATAAACCCATCTTTTTAAAGATTTTAAGATTTTTTACCATAGCCATATAGTCACACAAATAGCACCATTAAAAGAAACTAATCAAATGTATAAACAGTATAAAATGCTCTGGAAATGTAAGGCGATGGTATTTAAATGTTATAACTGAGAGTGATGACTGTTCCTCATCTAGTGTGATACCCTTATGTTGTGGGTCATCCAGAGAGAGAGAGAGAGAGAGAGAGAGATTAGTAAAAATGGGAGCAGATACAGAAGAAACCTTTATTGAAGAAAGTGGTCTCCAATTAATTTTCTAATTTTCAACCTGGGTGCTGGTAACAAGGATGTGTTTACTTTGTAAAAATTCCAGTTAGCATGCTTTACTTCACTACAGTTTTTGTTTTTTAATTTAAAATAAAATTGAGTTAATTTTAAGCTGGGGGCAAGAAAACCCTGCAGCCATATCTATATCTTTGTGCAGTGCAAGGAAAGGTCTGAAAACACACGCATGTAACTGCCAACAGTTGCTGCCTCTGGGGAATTTGAGGGAAGAATCTTGATTTTTATTTTTACTCCATGCACATCTATGGTATTTTAATTTATATTCATTGCTTATAAGGGAAGGAAGGAAAGGAGAATGCTAGCCTGCTGGGAAGATCTGTGGCATTTAGGAGCAAAGAGTGTGGCTGTTGAGTAACTTCACCCCACCCCAGCTAAATGCCTGTGTGTGAGAGCGTATTATAAACCTGAGAGCACCAGAGATGAAAATAGCAAAGATTGAAAGGGTCTCAGTCCTGTTCGCTGTCCTGTCATAACTGGAGATCATGCTATTGTATTAAGATGTGATTTTTTTTCCTGGTGTGTCCTGGCTTCCAGGCTTCAGAGGACTTATCCTCGAGTTGTCTGTAGAAGCAGGAAGGTAGATCGTACCAGCTCCTCGGCAGCTTGGCATCCTAGAAGCAATGGGAAAGACACAAGTAGTAGACAGATTGAAGAATGTTTAGAGGTTGCTGATAGCTTCTGAATGGCCCTTTCCCAGCGGCTCCCAGCTCCGTTTGCAGCTTTGTGTTGTGTATTCATTTAGAGCTGTCAGTGCAGTTGCTGACCAATAAGATAGATACATAAGTTAGATTAATAATGGACTATTTGGTACCTTTGTTTTCATAGTTTGCATATTTAATGAATGTTAGTTTCCATTAACTAATGAATGTTAGTAAGCCATCTGATGAAGCAGATAGGTCTTTGTTAGGTCTATGTAACGTGGTTGCTTTTTAAAAAAAATAACACCTTAAAGACAACTTTGAAAAGAGAGCATAGTTTTCACCATTCATCCGTCCTAATTAGTAATGGTTTTCATGTGAAATCGTTGGACAGCTGTGACTTGCAGCTTTTTTAGGGTGTTCTCCCTTTCTTCCTGGTAAGCCACAGGCCACAGTTTTCTATGAATTCACCCTCTTTTTCTTGTGGCCAAGGTCAATTAGCATTGGGAATAGAAGAATCTATAACTTGCTCCAAATGAAAAATGGACTTTTGCGACTAGCTGCCTATGTACAGGGTAAAGGATGATGTTCCTGATGGTTCCTGAAAGCTCGCCTCTGAGCAGTGATGGGAGAGACCGGCCCAGAGAGGAATGCCAACCTTAGTGACTAGCAGAGGCTGCGCCCCCGCAGCCTGAACCTCTTCCCTTTGGCCTGTTGGAAGGCCCAGGAGTCAGGCCTACTTCTTCTAGCTTCCCTACTTCCATTCCCTAGCCCACTGTAGCAAAGCTGTGACCTTATCAGATGGCAGCAAGAAGGAGCCTGCCTCCTCTTCTGTGCTTCAAACCAACAGGCCTGGGCTTTTCCTGGTGCCTCGCTGCGAGTCAGTAGGGAGCCCGGTGGGCTTTGGCCCAGGAGGCCCATTTTTAAGTGTCTTCCTCTATAGCAAGAGTGGTTTACGGTGGTGCCTCATGTATGAGGCACTTTCTGGAGAATGGGGTAGGGTGAAGTTGTTTGAAGGGAGATGGTCCATCTCTCAGGGGAGGACCTGACTGAACCTTGCGATTGGGCATGTGGGCATGTGGGGACTGGAGGGCAAGAGGGAGGCCTTCCCCTGGCAAGGAGTGAGTGTTCTGTTACATTTCGGAGGCTGCATATCCCGTTTCTTTGTGGGGAAGCAGATGTTGACTGGCTTGCCTTCCTTCCTTAGGTGGTTTTTTGGCAAAATCCCCAGAGCCAAGGCAGAAGAAATGCTTAACAAACAGCGGCATGATGGGGCCTTCCTTATCCGCGAGAGTGAGAGTGCTCCTGGGGATTTCTCCCTCTCTGTCAAGTAAGTGTTTCCTGCGCTGGTTGCCTGGCATCCTGTCTCCAGCTGATGGGAATGGTGGAGCCATAGGCCAGGTATCTGGCCACACACACCAAAGGTTAAGGGTGCAAACTGGTGGAGGTTTAGCCTAGACAGTGTTTTACAGATCAGTTATGTTTACACTGGAATCCTCATTTCGGGCTCCTCTTAAAGGTCTGTTCCAGCAGCACAGGGAGGCAGTCACTCCGGTTGCGGAGCCCCGTTGTCCCGAATCCCCACCACCCCGCAGAGCCCCACAGGGCACTCCCTCCTCACACGCCTGCCCTCCTGCCCTCTGTGGGTTTCCTACAGCTCTGTCTGACTGCTGACTGGTGGCCATCTCAGCTGCCTTCGTGGGCCTTCACCACATAGCTCACATCTGCCAACACCCTCCTAGGCTTCTGCATTAACTTGAAAAGGTTACCACAGGGGTTTGGGGTTTTTTGCTCCCCACCCCTCCACTCCCACCCGCAGTAAGTTTAAATGTAGAGGGGAGCAGTGAGCAGAAACTGGGGGAGGCGGGGAGTTTACCGCCCTGAGAGTCACAGAGAATATAAACTGGAACTTGGAGGAGTCTAAGCAAATCACTCCCCATGTGTGATATAGGATGTTGAATCAAATTGTCATATGTGTTTTGACTCAGTCCTTTTCTAGTTAACATATATTATCACAGGAACCCCTCCCCTAGGAATCTTACAACTCAGTTCATCATTTCTATGACAAAGAAGTGGTTAGGTTAAAATTACTTTTTAAATGAAGGCTGTAAGACAGTATATTTGCCATTTACAAATGATGTAAACATTTTTTTAGTTTGAAAAATCAACTGAATGTTTTGTTTCATTTTAGGATCAAATGTGTAGTTAAAGTGTAGGTTTTTTGAAATGTAGATTTACATTTAGAATTTTTGTATTTTTTTTTTCCTCAGTGAAAACATGGGAGGTGGTTTCAGCTGATATTTGCAAAACCTTACAGATATGTTTCCAGCATGGTTAGTTTTTAGTCCCAACATGAAAAAGTCAAACTGGATCTAATTATTAGTTTTTCTCTGCAAACAGTGGCTTTTTTTGAATAGACTGTATTTTTTAGAGCAGTTTTAGGTTCACAGTAAAATTGAGTGGAAGGTACAGAGATTTCCCATACACCCCCATACTCCCACATGGGAAGAGATGGTGGTGGCTTCCTGATGTGCTTGATTAAACACATGCAAATGAGGAGCTAGTGGAGAGTACCCAAGGTGGAAGTAGCGTTATGCTTCTCAGTAACCTGTACTTCTTCATCTGTTTTCCTTATATTTTATACTGACCCGTGCGTAAATCAGACTGTACAGGATGAGGAATACAAGCAGGGGAATCATTGGGCGATGGCCAAGACTTGACCTTGGCCACTTAGCGTTCATTTGGGGGCCTTGTCTGAGTTCCACTGATCACAGCACACGCTCACGTGGTGGCCGCTGGCATGCTCCCACACCACTCCCTTTATCCAGTAAAGAGTTTAAAAGAGTTCTTGTATTTATTGTTTTAGAAATAAAATTTCAAGGAGATGTCATTGACGATATCAACATAGACACCTTCGCAAAGGAGGTTCGAGAATCCAGTCTGTAAATGTGTCTCTAGTTTCAAGATGTTGAGCGTCTGTGATGGAGAACACTACGGCCCTTTCAGACACCAGTTCACTGCACGGTGGGAGTGGGCTTCTGTGGGGCCAGTGGAATATGTCCCCTTCCTCCCCATCCACCTTCTTTCTCATGAAATAACAGTACAGCAGGTTCTGGAATGACACCCTTGCATGATGTAACATTGATGAGATGCCTGCCGTAGGAATGTGCCTCCTGCTTGTATCCGTTAGCCTGTGGGAAACTGGTTTCATTGTTAAGTCTTGTCACTTCGATTCGCAGAACCTGTAGGCGACTTGCAGGCTTCCTAGAAGCTGAGTGCTGCCACCTGCTGGGTTGTTTTCAAGAAGTGTTTCGTTTCTTTAGCTTTAAGACTGATGGGAGGAAAGACGTTCTTTCATTTAACAAATCATAGTGTCTGCAGCGGCTGGGCCCTGGTGTGGACACTGAGGACCCAGCACTGAGCAGGGCAGGCAGAGCCTTCGCTGCGCCGATGTCCGGCCAGACAGCGCTGTGAGAGTGGGGCCATCCCACCGGTCAGGCTCTTGCTGTTTGTGTGGGCCAGTGTGACCTGGAGCACTTACTTTGACCAGGTGATCGAGAAGATTTTACTGTGGGGTGGGGTTGCCTGGGCCTCTTTTATTGTCTCAGCATGTCCTTTTGTTCTGAGACCTTTTTCCCATAAGTAGAACTAAAATCCCTGAATGGAAAGAAAACATGACTTTACCCTGTGTCCCAGGTACAGGAGAATTTTTAAAGTGCACCCAATCCTTCCCCTCCTCACCTTATTTCTTATCCCACCTTTTGTAATCTAAATATCACATAAGATTTTAATTCTTTTTTTGCTTGAAAAGTTAATTAAGGCTATTTCATTGGTACCATGCGGGGCACGCCATAGGTTCAGACTATCTCTATTTACAGACGTCTTCAGAATTAGACTGATGAACAGGGTTTCCCTTCTGGCGAGCGTTCTTCATGTTGTCACTGGTAGTCAGCAGTCCTAGTGGAGGGGTCTCGGGTGCTCAGTGACTGTCCTAACTCTGCAGTCGGGCCCGTGCTGTGCTGGCCCTGGGCCCCTCCAGCTGTGAGGGGTGTTGCCAGAACATACGTTCTCTCAAGATGGCCACTTGATGGACAGGTGGCCCTGGATAGCCGGGATGATGCCCTCTGACCTGTTCGCGTGTTCTCTGCTCTTCCCTTGCCCCCAGGTTTGGAAATGACGTGCAGCACTTCAAGGTGCTCCGAGATGGCGCTGGGAAGTATTTCCTCTGGGTGGTGAAGTTCAATTCTTTGAATGAGCTGGTGGATTATCACAGATCTACGTCCGTCTCCAGAAACCAGCAGATATTCCTCCGGGACATAGAGCAGGTGCCACAGGTAAGCCTCCTCAGAGAGACTGGGGTGGTTTTTAGTGATGAAGACTAGCTCCTCAGGCAAGCAGGTGCCTCGTCAAAGGGCTGCTGCTGGGGTTTCTACACTCATCCACAGTGTCACTCTTCATTCGTGGTGCAGATTTGAGGTCTGAAATGGAATAGTTTTGCCTTTTCAGAGGCCACTGCTCCAAGGACGCTGTTTACTGCCTGTGTCTCTAGGAAGGAGGGTCTCTAACACTCTCAGATAGTGTTCCCCCGGAAGCCAGTTGTGCGGAAAGGCGTGCTGTGAGGGAGTGAGGCCGGCACGCATCCCTGTGTCCCTGTTCCTGAGACCCTCCGCAGGTCCTGGTTAGCACCACCTTATTTCATTCAGGCTCTTGAACTTTGACTTTGTAAAACCTTAAGGATTTTTGAAGTGATAAAGTGGTGGGAACGGGAGTATTTTCAAATCCTGGGAGTCTAAACAAAACATGGTGTCTGCTTCTGAAGTCCTTGCCCCTTAAAGCAGTACTGGCTGCTCTCCGCTTAGTAACACAGCCCAGCGGGCCACCTCCATGAGACCCACCCGGATAACTCGCGCATTGGTGGAAGATGACACCACGCCCACCTAGAGCAAACCTGGAATGTTTAAGAATAAAGGGGGAGGGGAGGAGAAGGGGGGGTTATTTCAGGAAGTGGGGGAAAGTTGGCTCACATCTGTTACCCGCTATGACCAGTCGCACTCACGAGGGCCGGCCACAATCAGAATGCAATGTGTTTTTCCTGCCCCTTCTCTGCAGCAACCAACGTACGTCCAAGCCCTCTTTGACTTTGATCCCCAGGAGGACGGAGAGCTGGGGTTCCGTCGGGGAGACTTTATCCACGTCATGGATAACTCAGACCCCAACTGGTGGAAAGGGGCTTGCCACGGGCAGACAGGCATGTTCCCTCGCAATTACGTCACCCCCGTGAACCGGAACGTCTAGGAGCCAAGAGGAGCTTATTTAAAGAAGTGAAAAATGTAAAACATGTACAAAAGAATTAAACCCACAAGCTGCCTCTAACAGTGGCCTATGAGGGAGCTGAGAACACCTGGCTGGGTCACCTGGTGACCCTCTCACTTTGGAACTTTGGGGGGTGGGAGGGGGAGTTGGATATAACAATGCCAAAACACCTATAAATTAAGAGAAAGAGTTTTTATGACAAATTTTCACCACTGCTCCTATTTCTCTTCCTTTGTCCTTTTTTTCCCATCTCTCTTCTGTCCATCAGTGCATGACGTTTAATGCCACATATAGTCCTAGCTGATGCCAATAATAAAAGAAAAGAAACCAAGTGGGCTGGTATTTTCTCTATGCAAAATGTCTGTTTTAGTCAGAATGACTGAACAGCCGTTGCTGGGTTCCTCACACACACACACACACACACAAGGGGGACAGGAAGGCCTTGCTCTGTAGCTTCTGCCAGCGGAGGGGAGGGTGAGTAGGCGTCTGCCTTCCAGCCCCCAAGCCCCGGGACACTTCGTCAAAGCTGGAAACGGGGGGGAAAGGCTGGAGCAGTGCCCCTCATGGCTTCCTGAGAAAGACTGAAAACCTGTGTCCCTCTTCCACATTGGTTTCCCTTCCGAATGGTATTATTGAGCATGTTGTTTTTTCATAGTGCCTTTTTCCTTATTTCGAGGGTTGCTTATGAGTGGTGTTTTCTATTTGTTTTGTTTTAAAATAAGTTAAAGACAGTCCAGAGCTTTTCAGCCGGTTTGTCTCCTCCTCTGTGTAAATATTTTCCTTCGGGGGGAGGGGAGAACAGGGTAGAGGAGAGGAGACGAGTAGAAGTGGGGGGATGCGGGCGTTCTGCCTGTTCTAAGCCAGGAGTCAGTAAGGTTCAGCTTTAATATTTGTGAGCCCTCCAGAGTTAGAGCGGAAGCTGGGGTACCTGGAGCCGCGGCCCCGGATGCATGTGACCAGCTGCCGGGGAAGGGGAGGTGGCGGCTCGTCCCACCTCGCACTGGATCTGGCTGAAAGGGGGGGTCAGCGGCCTTGACCTCGCGGCCTCAGGTGTTGTCTGCCCCACTCCTTAACCTTAGAGACCCCCCAGATGCAAACCCCTGGAGCCAGCAAGTTTCAAACACAGGAAAGGAACTGAAGCTGTCGCGCTCTGAACTGTATCAGGACGTACCGTATTCCTGCACTGGGGTACAAAGTGAGCCTTCACTTCATTTTTCTTGCTCTGCAAACCAGGGGTACCCCTTCATGCCTTTCACCTTTTGTGTTCCCACCTAACCTGCCCAGGTGAGCCTTAGGGCAGCGTTCCATTCACAGCGGGCTGTGTTTATAGCTGCTCCATTCCACCCCCAAAAAGGAAATGTCTCCATGAAGCAGGGCAAGCTGGGAAGGAAGATTGGATTTCTAGGAAGGTCAAGTCCCCTGAGAACGCTCTGCCCGTCTGCTGCCATTTTCTTGTCCCTCGGAGTGATGTGCCTGTGAACTTTCTCCACAACACAGACAGGGCCGCCGAGTTGGTGACGGCCTCGGGTCTGGAGTGGTCTTCAGAGTCTGCCCTGGACACTGGTTCTGGAGCCGGACTCGGCCCGGAGCACGCGGAGGACCAAGAGGTGGCCGCTCTTCTGGACGGAGCACCGGCCTCTCCTTGCCCCCTGTCTGACTCCTTCTCCTTTTCTCGCTGATAAAAGGAACCTGGCATTCTACACCTGGACCATCTGATTGTTTTGTTTTGGAATTGGTGTATATCATGAAGCCTTGCTGAACTAAGTTTTGTGTGTATATATTTAAAAAAAAAATCAGTGTTTAAAAGACATATGTACTTAATCCTTTAACTGCGAGTAGCATTTGGTAGGTAGTGATTAACTGTGAATAATAAACATACAGTGACTTCTTCACTCTGTATCTTTTCTTTTTTACCCCCTCGCCTTACTTAAAAACCACGTCAGGTGTTAGGTCAGGGAGTCAGGAGCCTTGTGTCCTTATTTCTGACTCACTCAGCTTCTTGGGGGGCACATGGGTCTCACTGGGCCCCTGGAGGAGTGGTGCAGATTGCCAGGCCCCACCCCCCAAGATTGTGCCCCCCCAAGCACAACAGGCGTGCTTGGCATTTCCAGGGGAAACCATAGACCACACACACTTTAGAAACTCTGATCTAGACCCAGAGCTTTGTGAGAACAAGGCATGGCTGGCGTGGTTCTCGTCCCCTCACCCCCTTTCTCCAGCGTGCTAAGTAGCTAAAACACACTTGTTCTGCTCAGGGGACTGCCTGGCTGCCTTTAGCACGAGACTAGGCCTGTTTAACCACACACAGCACCAGCCACACAAAACCAAATAAGATTAGAGGGCGAACAAAAAGAAGCGGAACCCAAGGAATTTCCACTTGTATTCTTGGTCTGATTCCTAAATAGAGCCCAGCATGTGACCTCAGCTGTGGCTACTTAGCTCCTGGCAGGGGAGTTTTCGGTTCTCACTTCTCTGACCACGTGTGAGAAGGAACTCCCAGCACTTTCCTGGGGGGTGGGGGGGGTCTACTGGTCGCCTGGTCCACCTAGACTAGCTACTCTGAAGCTGAGCAGAAGTTTTCAAAATGGGGCCATGTAGGTGAAAACTGAAGGCAGTGACTTTCAGCCTTCTTGAGGCTGTCCGCACTGTTTGACTCATGGCGTCAGAATGATGGATGGGACAATTGCTGCTTTTGTGCAGTCTTGTTACAGGTTCCTTGGTGAGTGTATCCCCTCCGACCACGGATGTGTAATTCCTGGGAAGGCATCTGGGGTGGGAACGCCTTTGGGAAGACAGCCGTGGAAGAGCTCAGCTGCATTCGATGACAAAGCAGGTGGGTGAGTGGCCGTGAGGCCTCCGCTCACTGACGTTCCTACTTAGCATCCTGGGAGTTTGTAACAGAGGCTTGTATTCAAACATGATTGTAGAGGGGACGGTGGTGACAGCTCTTAGGAAGCATTCTAAGGTTATCTCTGCAGCACCGGGACTGCTGAGGTGGCGTGC